AGACTCTTATCTCCAATTACCCACTCAGAAAGCGCATGGCACCATCTGTCAAAGTGTTAGAGGATAGCCTTGAACAAAGGAGCTCACAGACAGTGCCCACATTGTGAGTTCAACTCCCACCAACAACAAAGATATAAAAAGAAAGAAATCAGTTTGATCAATATTTGTCCATCAGTGTCACCCATTTAAACTTTCTCCCCATTCCCACACAATTATACTTCCTCCTACAATTTGAACCTAAACATCATTTATATGTTCTACCACTAAGATAAATTTGTATACTTTTAAATGCACACAACATATTTAGGAGAGAGATCTTAGTAATTTGATATGCTAAAGTAATGTGTAATGATAAAATTCAGGTAAATATCATAAGCTTCCCTTCAGTGTTAAATTAATGCAAGACAATTTAAGAGTGACCAGTACAAGAAAAATGAAATTATACTCAGCAATGACACATGTTTGGTTTTCTTATCTGCACATTTACGCAGGCTTCTGTGCAAATAGCAATAGTCTGAGGTCAAGCACAGCAGCCTGGCTTCATCAGAAGACCTCCTGGGAAGGGCTGCAGAGCTCTGGCTGAGGGCCAGTGGCTGAAGCCTCTCTGTGGGTGCAGCAAGGAATTCCTGTGTGCTGAGCGCCCGGTGTGGAGCGGCTGCCTTATCTAATGCAGGACTGAGAGGCTTTCTTTCAGCAACCACGGCGCGGCTGTGACACAGGCCTGTAGTTGGGTTTTTGGGATCTTCCCCTGCAGGACACTCAGCTGGGATCAAGCTGCACCTTGTCTGCCCTGGCAGGCCTGACAGGCACAGTCTCCAGGACAGCTGCCCACCAGGCCTCCAGCCTTCTGCCTAGCTTCCCATCACTTCAACTGTACATGATTCCTGTCAACAGTTCGACCTTACTTCCCAAGCTTCTTGCAACATATGTAAACACGAGGTCTATGGCAATGTGAGCTGTACACCACCACATCTCTACTGCTCCACAGAAGTCCTCTCCACAGGAAAATTCCTAGGCCTGAGGGACACAGATCAACACACTGGCTGGAGTCCAGGCCTTGAGGTCAGCTTCTCACAGCAGATTTGTCTCCACCTCCAAGTCCCTGGGGTCACAGCGAGGTCCTCAGCCGTGTGTCCCATGGCAGAGATGCCAGTCGCTCTGTGAGCACACCTGCTGTTACCTGCTGACGGCTCAGCTCTCTTCCCCAGCAGGAGAGCTGCACACAGGTCAGAGCTCAGTGCCACAGTGTCTCCACCCTGACTGCTTCTCTGCCATGTCCTGGGTCCCAGGAACTCCCTGTCGCTGCTCCTTTCCTCTCTTCCTCAGAATCTGCTCAGCTTTGTGTCAGTGGATTCTTGTTCATGGACAAAAGTGTTGTTCACCTTCAGCTCACCATCTTGTCCAACACTAGGAAGCACTGTAACCAATGACTTGAAAGATTCATTCAAGGAAACTGTCAAAGGGTTGATAAAACATTTTGAAGAAGACAAGGCATTTGTCCATAATTACCAAATACCCATTTACCTATGAGCACATTGTTATGGATTGTGAATTGAGATTATTATTATTGACATTAACAACACACATGATATTGTTACAAATAAATGCACATAAACAGGATAAACAAACCAGAAAGCTAGACTATGACAACACCAGAGTGCACTGTCAAGTGCATGCCTAAATCCTGGCTATCTTGGTTTGTGGTCAGAATGAAGTAAAGTGTGGCAAAGCCACACCTGACCTCATCTCAGGGAGGAGGCTCTGTGAGCTCACAGATGAGCTCCATTCTCCTGGAACACCCCAGGAACTGTGGGCCCTCCTTGACTGTGCAGGCCCAGACCAGGCATGGAGCTCATACCATGGGAGATGCTGCCATTGTGGAAACACATTCACCATTGTGTTATACTCTTGTGTGTGTACAAGGAGGTCACAGGCGTGGTGCACTTTGTGTTTTGTGTGTGATCAGCAATGCTGACAGATCGATCACCAGACAGCTCTCAATGTTCTCACACTCTGCCTCAGGCTGCCAAGGACCTGCAGGTACAGTGTGAACCACAGCACGTAGTCAGTGTGTCATGATGTCTCCAAGGTGACCATTGTCACCAAACTCCTCCAGCACAGTCACCTCTGCTCTGGGAGCCCAATCTCTAGACTTCCCCCCAGAGCTGCTTTATAGCAGAGGACATGTAAATAGGACGTCCCTCTGCCCATGAAAACCAGCCCAGCCCTGACCTGAGCTCTGTGAGCTGATTCCACCAGTGACTGAGCACAGACCACCACCATGGAGCTGGGGCTGCGCTGGGTTCTCCTTGTTGCTCTGTTGAAAGGTGATTTCTGGGGAGCAAGGGATACTGAGTGTGCAAATGGACATGAGTGGGAGGAACTGTGGATATGTGTGACCACTGCTGACCAGGATTCTCTGTGTTTGCAGGTGTGCAGTGTGAGGTGCAGCTGGTGGAGTCTGGGGGAGGCTTGGTGCAGCCTGGGGGGTCCCTGAGACTCTCCTGTGCAGCCTCTGGATTCACCTTCAGTAGCCATGGCATGAACTGGGTCCGCCAGGCTCCAGGGAAGGGGCTGGAGTGGCTCTTATACATCTATGGTAGTAGTAGCACATACTACACAGACTCCGTGAAGGGTCGCTTCACCACCTCCAGAGACAACAGCAAGAACACACTTTACCTGCAGATGAACAGCCTGAGAGTGGAGGACACGGCCGTCTATTACTGTGCTAGAGACACAGTGCAGGAAATCCAGTGTGGGCCAGACACAAACCTCCCTGCAGGGC